TAGTTATCTAAAACTGGTAAATATTTCCACATTTCATATTCAGATAAATCCACCCCAACATACAACTATCTTTAAAAAAAAATGCTGGTTAATATAATAATTTCTATTTCTGACATACCATAGTCTCTTGTAAAATTAAATTAAAATTAAATATCTATATTACAATTAATGTAAGAAAATAAATGACTACACAAGATGCTGCTTGCATTTTTTAATGCAAAAGGCACCTTATGAATGTGGTCCCACAACCCATGTCACAATGGCTGAGAATCACTCTCTATACATCATTTTTTTTTTTTTTTAACAAGGAACAAGGTATACACTTAGAATATGACTTTTATATCACTCTTAGTTCAATGTTCCTTTTGAAATACATTGTGTAAGGTTCTGTCAAATGTTGTGGATATAGCTTTCCTCCCCCAATTGCTTAGAATTGGAAGTAACATTTCCAGCTTATTAACATGAACCTGAGTCATATATATGTCACAATCATTGTAAGGAATAATTGGACAGAATATAACCTGGGAATAATTTACTTCTGGATTAATAATATACATGAAAAAAAGTGTAAGCATGGAGGTACATACAGTATTCCGTATGTGTTTTTTTTAAAATTAACCTCACAGAATTATGATCATTCTGTGTCACAATACTCAAAACATAAAAATAGTGTATGCACAACTAAGTCTCTAATTTCTAGATCTGTATATTGATATAATGCTTTAATAATGTTCTTAAAACATAAGCTACTCTCTGTATTAATGCAGCAGTGCTATTCTTGTTGAAATGTATCTGAACTATTTTAATTGACTTGCAGCATCCCACTATTTCAGCACAGATGAAATTTTAATTGTTTTTTAAAAGATCTTGAAATTGCTTGGGATACTAAAAATCCTAATTTCATGAACTTTGCTTACTTGAGAGCAAATGACACTTTTTCTGCTGAATTTGGAATATATTTGCCAACAAAATTTACCCCAACATTTCTACAATTCTTTGTTGGTAGATTAATTACATCAATCATCTGACATTTTTAGGAATCAATATCAAGGTTTTATTCTGTAAACTTTCATCCAAGTATGTCATTTTTTATTCTAAATTTTATCAGCCCAGATTCTTGAACTTTCATCAGTGCTATATATTATTGTGTATTACTTTCCTCTAAAGTAGAGCCACTGCATATCAGGGTCCTTTCTATGTTCTAAATTATCATTTGTAACTGTTGATAGGAATACAACCAAGTCAGTCTCCAAATGGTACATTCAAAATGGAGTGTTGAAGGAACACAATAATAGATTTTGCACATATAATGGAATTTGTGAAAGTCCACTGCAAGTCTCCAAAATTGCAGAATCAACTTTCACTTTAGCAAAAACATCATTTTGTTTCAGAATCATAAAATGTTCTGTTTTAAATGCTGCTATTAACCTTTTGGATTTAAAGAGAAATAGGAAGTTCCTTTCTCTCTCTCCTACAACTACCAAAGAATTAATTCTGCCAAGTGGGGAATATATTTTAATAATTATACCCAGCTGTACGAATCATAACAAGTAATTTCTCAGTTTTGGTCTTAAAGCAATTACACCTTTATTTCTGGGTTTTATTTTATTTGTCTCACAAACCTGCCCTATGCTAGAAAATATCTGGGAAAAAGTTCTAATGCTTTACCTTGGACTTGTACCTACAGCTTAACTCCATTAATCAAATTTATGTATATTTTCAGACTCACAGATGAAATTCCATTTTCTAAAACCATTAAAAATAACATTGCAAAGTGGTTTCTTATACAAACATTCTTCAGATAATTTCAATACTAGTTCCATTATACAATCATAAGTTTCCTGAGGTATTATATATTGTGGGAGGAGCATGTTGCAAACATTTAACAACAGATTCAGTAATTATATTTGTCTGACCCACTAAGAGTAGGTATGTCACCACAGATCCATTTATCTTTAGAGAATCCATACAAAACATCCTCCGTTTCCAATTTCCAAGCAAGCTATATTCCATAGTTTTAAGATACACTTTCTATTTTCCACATTAGTGGAAATCTGCTTAGTCCAGGATTCTTTGTAGTGATTGTCAGTTTCACCTAAAAAAGAGAAGATTGGATACCAAGTAGAAGAAAGAAGCCCTCTGAAGACAGGCAAAGGAGACAAAGGTGCCAGTCCTTATTCAGTGGCAAAGGAGACAAAGGTGCCAGTCCCTGTCTCAAAGGGGCAATAGCTTCCTTCCAAATCCAGCATTCCTACTGCTCCTAGATGCCAACAGGAATCAAATGAATCATGGGTCCAGCCTATATACTGTATGGCTACATGTACCTCCTCAGAGTCCAGAAATTCATAAATAAATCCAAGACGACCTCATAAGTTGTTGCCTCAATTATCTCAGATTTGGGTAATGTACATTATCCAGATCTGAGTAAATATCAGCAAGTAAATATGAGCAAGTTTATCAGCAGAATGCTTCACAAACTTGTTATAGCGTAGGCTACTTCCTAGTTGTTCTACAAAAGAATTTAGGTTACCATGAAATGCACTGATTACATTCTTCTGGTACAGTGAGGATGGAAAAATATTGCCACTTTGCTGTCATTGTAACCACATCAAAAGCCCAAACTCCTGGCATTCGGCCACCGTAGCTGGAGGCATACTACTCTGTCTCCTCCAGCCCCATATTAAGCACAAAGCATATAGAATTTGCAAGAGAGATGACACTTGTAATGGCCAGTATAATGTCTCCCTCACTCCCATTACCATTCCAGGCTGTCTCCCCAGTTAAAACTTGGAAAGCGTTCTCCAACAACATTACCCCTGCCCAGTGCCACTGAGTGTAACATAATATAAATTGAACTCTGATGGTGCATGAGCTCTTGCACGGTTGTAGAAGAGATCTTTTCTCTGTTTCTGAAATTAAAAGATTTCATAACCCTTTTTGCTTGCTACCTTGCATAATCTTCTTGAAGAAGCCTCCTTCTTTGGATACATAATATTCATGTGATATTTATCTAGGCCTTGTAATTCAGATTGGTTCCCATTGTTTATCTGCAGGCTGAATAGCACATTTCAGAAACCTGGTGTTTGTTTTGGTACGTCTTGTACAGCATCTCCATTTGTTATGGTGATCTCAACTTCTTTGTGTGTGTGAGAGAAACCTCTCTCTCTCTCTCTCTCTCTCTCTCTCTCTCTCTCTCTCTAATGAGAATTTGTCTTGTTATTGTTCACATTTTTTCACAATCTCCTGATATAGTGTCCTGTTGACATTCCATGGAATCATTTCCCCAGCTTTATCAATATCCTTAGGTCAACTTTTCCAGCCCATATCTCATTTGTTGATTCATTCTGGCTCCTGTTGTTCACTATGTTTGTTTTGGTTTGGTTTCTATGATTTTACAGCCTCGCTTCATTCCTTTTAAAAGTTCCTGTTCTTTCTCCACAACATACTAGAATGGCTGCATATAAAGCATTTTTACTCTAGCTCAAGCAAAAACAGATTATAATATACTTCTCGTAGCATGTCCAAAATTGCAAATATTTTACAAATATTTGGTGGGCATATATTGATAAATATGGCATCATCTTGTCAGGCCCAGTCCAAGAACAACAGGGAAACAAACCAGCCAAATTCAGTTCTTTATTGCTTACACCATATAGACAGAATCTTGCCAGACTAAATGTGTACTATGCTAACCTTATAGATATATTCTGGGAGAATCTAGGGAGTGGCTATCTTAAGTCTCTCCTTCTTCCCATGTTCCTGTTCTGAACTATGTTGCCTCTTGTCTCCCCCTTTTCCTTCCTGGAATGTGCTCCCTCCTTCCTGAGAACCTGGGTCTCAGCTGCATTCCATCACACCACCTCTCCCTTTGTAGATACATTCCATTGCACATTCTTAGTTGATCATGAGACTAACTTCCACATGTTGATATATAGTTTGTAAGTGTGAGTGAAGTAGATTTAGAATTTATGAACTCAGGAAAGAACAGAGTCCACACTTCAGAATGATAATTTTTAAGGCTTAGTAATAGGTTGCACACATTTGCAACTGTGCTGAATATTATATCTTAATAAAAATGTAATGTGTTTTTTTCAAAGCTTCACATTAAAATAGCATGATGCCCCAGAAAAATAATCATAGATTTTCTGCTTACAAATCCTTTTCCCCTAATGACCTTAAGCCAAAGAAATTGAGGAAAATGGAACAGAAACTTTATAAGCTTTAAAACATTCCCACTAGTGTAAAACATTACTTGATAACAAAAAGAACTTTGTATTCCTTGGAAGCCATTGTAGTATAAATTGGCCCAGTCTGCTCTCATTTTTAGTCTGACAAATAGGAAATTATGTTAAATTGTTAGATAGATACACACAAAGATAGATGAATACTATGTATCTCTACACTTCAAAATTAATCAATACAGCATTCAAATGATTGTTTGTAATAACCCATATTGTTTATAATAACCCATACTTTTTAAAAAACTCTTTTCAATATTTTAAAATTATACCATATTTTGCCTAATTACATTTTCTGTGGTATATTCTTCTGAGAATATTCAGCATGTTCATATAACTTACAGATCTTTCATTTATTTACTTTGCATGTTTAAATGGCTACTGTAACTTTGTTAGGAGCTATTACAGAGCTAAATGTTTTGATAGGTATATTTCACGTTGTTAGATGAGAATAAAACTTAGAATGCCAAATACTGATAATAGTGCTATTTGAGTATAGTGCTTTAGAACAAGGACAGTGTAAGTGATATTCCTAATATAGCTTTGATGTGACATGAACATAGCAATACTAATTTTATGGCTGTAAAGTTTTAAGTAATGCATGGTGCAATAAAAGTGTCATGAAGATTAATTTTTAGTGGAATTATATCATTTCATATAATAAATTATCTTCTAGAGATGTATCTAAGTTAGAATAATGATGACAGCATTCCAGGTGAAAAATTAAGCTTGGTGTAATTTTCTTTTCTATTCCAAAAGCAGATATGACATCAAAGATGATTACACCTTGCGTATTAAAAAGGCTATGAGTTCAGATGAAGGAACATACACATGCATAGCTGAAAACAGAGTTGGAAAAGTTGAGACATCTGCTACTCTTACAGTTCGAGGTAAGTACTTAACTATTTAAAAGACTACATTTAACATATTCTGACATGTTATTTGGTGCTTGAAGATTATAGCTTAAAATACAGGTATACGGTTAAAGAAACCAACTCTTCTTATAGCTTATTTTGATCACTGATAGTAGCTGTCAACTATATCACGCAGAAAAGTTTCTTTGAAATTTGTACACTTCCTAAATATTAAAAAGAGATTTTGATGCCATTAAATTTATTGTAGGAAGGGAAAGTTCTGAAAACTCATGAACCCTAGCTTCTCTTTTGTTATCTGTATTAATCCCAAGAGACAATGAAAAGGACTTTATATTTTTATAAGTATTGTGTAATTAAGTGGCTGTACCTGTTTGTTCTTGTAGATCTTGTAATAGGAAAGTGGAAGAAAAGGTTCACAATTTCAATTTTTTTAAAAAAACAGCAGATAATGCTGAAATCATATATCCCCTTATCCAAATGAATTTCAGTACTAAACTGAAAAATTTAAGAATGGATATATCAAAGTAGTTTGTATTTTTCTGCATTACAGCTGACCATGAAGCAGCATGTGATTATGAAGCAGCAACCATGAAGAAATATATGAGTTTTATTTTTCAGAGTAAAATTAAAATATGAGACCATAACAAAATGAGGAAAGAATTAGACAAACCTATAAGGAAGGGGGACAACTTTGGGCATGTATTATACATACATATCTACACTGATTAGGAATGGGAAAATAGATCTATTTGATGTAGAAAAGAAAGTAGAGAATATACAAGGTATACCAAAAGTCAGGCCCCATAGACAGTATATTATATACTGTAAATTACATTAAATGATTGAATTGGTTGCCATTTTCTTCTAAACACTTCTGTTCTTATCTGATATGTGACTTTTGAGCATTCTTAAGTACAGTAACATTTCTCTGAAAAAAAAATAACAAAATATCTGTTGTGATTGGCCTATGATGCCTGACTTTTGGTGCAATATATATATATATATATATATAAAAACACAAGATGGATTTACAAGTTACGTGTGTGAGAGACAGAGAAAGTTTGTGGTATAGCAGATACTGAGGAACAGAAAAGATTTCTGTAGACTGCACTGAAATGCACTGAAAATCACATAAATATTAATAAATCTTGCACTCATTACAGTTTCTTTTTAGAGCGTGTGTTAGTCTGCTGAAATTCTATTCATTCTCCTTCTTTTGGTGCATGTTTTTCTCATTGCCAGCTGTGAACTTCTTTGGTAACGAATCCAGCTGGAGGTAATTTTGTGAATGGGTATAGACACACAAATATAAAAATTGAGGTATGAATAATAATGGGTATCACACAGATACCATTTCACAGTTTAGCAGCATGCTCTAAAGATTCACTAGAACTGTAAAAATTGCTTCATTAGTGGTTTTTCTCATTCATCCCCATTATATGATGAAAGTTTACATGGATGAAAGTCTACATGGATTGCTTTTTTAGAACATTGGGCAACTGATCCGAGATGCCAGCTTCTTTTTCTGTTATTTAATGCATAACATGGTTTAGTTTAATTTGATGAATTTGGAAGGAAAAAAAGGAAGAAGAAAAAGCAGCAAAAAAGTTAGCATAGTAATTCTGACAATGGGGAACTCTCCAGATTTTTAAAGAGAGAGGCTGGTGTGCTATATTTTTACAGTTAATGCTTTCTTGTTATGCTACAATTTTATATAACAATGAATTATATCTCATAAATTTCATGCAATCTTCAGAACGGCCCTCACACTAGTTCTTTAGAAGAATAGACTTCTGTTTTACAAAAACAAACAAAATAAATTTGAAAAATGTATAATTCAATTATTACATTTAATATACTTATATAAAATTTGTAGTTATGGTGCATATACATCACTGTGGAAGTGGTATGTAAAGATTTGAAAAATAATAAAATAAACTAGAAAAGTCAAAGGATTTATATTTGAATTTCGCTTTTGGGAATGATAGAAATGAAAAATAAAATAACTTTGTTATAACAGTTCATACAATACTACCTACAAATAGCATAAGGGATATATCAGCTTACAGAAAAAATAAAGACTTATCCTATAGTTCCATAGTATATTTAATCATAAGATAACTGACTGATAATTGAGGCAAAAGATGGCTATAAAATAATCTTCCCATAAACTATCATTTAAACTATAAAACACACCAGTTAATAGAAATAACTGTAAAATAGTTATTTACTCAAACACCATCAACATTGATAAGGTAGTGATTTTATAAGAGATACCTAGATTTCAATAGTTGTTGCTTTTCTGACCTAATTACTGTGGTCAGTATAAGTACTTGAAAGACAACTATGTTCTACAGTTCGCTCTGTAATAAAAGCAAAAAAAAAACAAAAAGTATGCTTGATGTATGTAAGCCTAAACTGTTTTAATTCTGATCTGAATAAGTCATAGTGGCTGGTTCTCAAATAACAGTATGCCTTAAACCAGAAATTACAAGCCATTGTAATCAAAATAAACAACATTTCAGATTTTTTTTTAATTGTGTATTTTATCTGCTCTCCTTTTTATAGCTTTTTATTTACAGTATGGGAACTTCTGGAAGGGGATATAATTGGCAAGAATCTGTCTTTCTGCAGTGTCCAAATTTTCTGAACATAAAGGGTTTTTTTTGGTTTTGCTTTTTGACATGTTAAGCAATTAAATAAAAAGTTGAAATCCAAATTGGGTTCCTTCTTCTTTTAGAATTCATTGGACTCTATTAGTAAAAGTAAATTTGGAAGATTTGTTTCATATTCTATAAGGAATTTATCTTACAAATCAAAACTTAAGAAATTTCTGATATTGAATAGCTCAGTTTTTAAAATCCCTTTTTACTTCGTTTGGTGTCTTCCTTGACAATAGTTACAGACCTTTTATTGTTTTCAAATTCTATTAATTTTACCTTATGCCTTATATAATTGAAAGTGCCAGATTATGAACTTTTCTTTTGAATTTAGTCTGGTTTCCCTCATAGAAAACATGCATAGAATAAAACTGGATTAAGAAATTTTATAATTGTACAAATACAACAGATAACATTCATCTTTGAACTGTTTGGCCAGCTTTAAGTTGTTTGTGTCTTCTTCCATGAATTACTTGGATTATACAGGCTTAAATATACAAGCGAATATATGTAGCTCAGGGTTAAACTGTGGAAACCACACCCCCACCAACACTGGCAGGGCAAAATATTGTATATAAATAGGGAACAAACCCCATAGTCACTAGCACTGATGATGTTACTTAGTTGGAGAATGAAGCATCTGCAGTCAAACAACCAAGCTCAGAGAGCACCAAGGACTCCACAGTTAAAGATCTCCAAACATTAAATCTCTCTCCTACATTTCTTGGTTCTGAGTTATTTCAAATAAAACTAGGGTATGCATAAATACTTTTGTCCAAATAATACTGTTATGATAAATAGTGACTGCAACAACTGAAGTGGTATTAGATGTGCTCAAAGTCAGTTTATGCTTGGCAATAGTGTACTTTGTCCCATTTTACTTTTTTTTTTTTTCTCCAAACTCTAAGTCCTTTAATAGAGAAAGATACTAGCCAATATTATTATTGTATAGATAAAATGATAGTAAACTCAACTAATTTTAGAAGTTATTGGTTTGACAAATATCCTAATTTAATAGTAGATGTATAATAGCATCTCCTCTTCTGAAAGTGGCAGGTCAGTTAATAAACATTCACATCAGGAGTATTTAAGTAATTATTGTTATGTCGTGTCAAAACATATTAAATTCCACTTCTTGCTTTCCAGCCTATAAAATTATAATTGAAAGTGTGTGTGGGTTTGTTTGTTTTTTTTTGTCCCCTTCATTGTGCAAATTGTAAAGAAAATAAATAATCAATGTGACTGGTCTAGAATTTGCTTCATATAAAAAACTGGAAGCTACATGTCTCAAACAAGTTTACAAGAAGTTTATGTTGTAAAGCTTGACTAATGCAGTTAAATAATTAAATTGTTAACAGTATTATTTGATTCATTCTTTAACCTGCTTTATTTCTTCTACAAAATGTTCCAAGCAGACCTAAGTTTGTCCTTAAAATAAAAGCTGACAGCATAAGCCAAACACCCTTAATCTACTATTCTTACGCTGTGATAGACTTCTGCTAGATTGAAATCACTCAATTTTAGCATCCTTTAAAAGAAAAATAACCCATCAATCCTTTTCATGTTTTTTTTTTTTAAATAGTTATCCAAAAAGCATTTTGCAAAGTGCGGACTTAACATTTCTATGATCATTTAAAAAAAAATTATATAGTTTTATCAGCTTAGTCAGTGAATGGGAAAAATGTGGGTTTTTTTAATTTGTTACTGAATGAAAACAAAAACAAAAAACAAACATTCAGATTTTCTCCAAACTTACCGAAATCCTGGCCAGAAACAGTTGAATTCCATTGGTGTTTAAATCAGATAGTGATGCTGTTTTGTTTTTTAATTGGATTGATATTTACCAGTGTGTGAGTTTGGATGAAATAATCCTCAAATTCTAGAGATTTAGCTACTTTTCTTCAATCAAGTTTGAAATAACATTTGATAGTGGCACATGAATCTATCACTAGAAATAATCAGATCACTAATTCAAATCTGTGCATGTATCTGTCAATGCAGTTTTAAAAAAATTAAATAACAGAAAGTGATGATTAATTAAGGATGATATATATGTTCAGCTAAGTATCCACATATAGCATAACATTACATATCATGCATTCTGACAAATTCTTTTTTTTCTTTAATTTTATTATGTTCTCACCTCACCATTGTAATGTCTCCAGCTCGTCCTGTTGGTAAGTAGCCATCCTTCTATCCATTTTAGCATAATTTCATATAATTCTCCATCTTACATTTGTTATCATGTAGGTATGTTTTAAAATAATTATTAAGTACTAAATATCTAATAGACAAGGAAAGAATTATTTTTTTACCTGTTCTCAAAGTTACTATACAGTATAAAAATTAGAATAATGCAAGGTCCTTAATAATTGGTGTCACTTTTTATCTGAATCATGTTGCATAATGTAAATAATGATTACATTTCATGAATCACCTACAATCCAATATGTACCCTTGCTGAAATAAATAAGATTACACTCTGATGATATCAGGAGTGAGGTACTGAAAAACATTAAAACAGCAGTGACTAGTATAAGTAGACTTCAAACAAACTGTATTATTTAAAAATATCAAAATGTTGTGCTTTACCTAAAGTGAATTATTTTGTTTCTGGTATAAAAAAATACAATGATGCAATGTTCTGTAGAAATTACATTTCTAGAGATGTAATTTCTAGAGATAGAATTTTCAGCGACACTGTTAAGCATAATACATAAGTGTCTTTGGTTGCATCTGATACGGAATACAGGGTAGATGTAGTTTTAAAAATTTTAGCTCTGTCTGAGAGGAAAAGAACATATCCAGATTTAATCACTATGTGTTATACTCTTTTATTTTCTAAAACCAGACACGAAAAATTCAGTTTTAAATTATTAAATTATTAACATAAATTATTAAATTATCCCTATCTTTTCAATCAAAACAAATCATTTCTACCATATGGCACTGAGAGTACATATGCAGAATCAAACACAGTTCTGCCTGACCTAGGAAACAGCTTGGGAATATAACAGATTTATTATTAATCTGTTTAATAATTAACACCTGATTTCTATTAGCAACTCAAAACACGAGTAATAACTATTTTTCTCATCTCTGAGATAACCTTTCTTTAAAAAAAATTAAGCATTTAAATTATTTCCTGTAGGAATTTACATCAGATGAGTTCTGGAAATAGGGCATTTACTCCTTTTTACCCCCATTTGTGTCTATTATTGCTCTCATCAGACTAATTTTCAGATGGACGAATTAAATTTTCATACACCAAAATAGTTTTTCAGTGTTTCATTGATGCAGTATGATTTCTTTGTCCCAAATACAGTAAGTAATAGTTAATAGATAACATTATTTTAATTCATATTTTTGTTATCTCATGAGAAAATTTAATTGGTAGATATAAAATCCTATAATATCCAATGGGGGAAAAAAATCTAATGTGTTAGTTTTCCACAAATATAAATGTATGGTTACCTTGCCAGATTTGGAAAATATAACAAGACATTTGAAAACACAAAAAACCTTAGCTGTCAACTGACAATCCTGATTATCCAAAAACAGCCGAAATAATAGGAGCTCTTTGGAAAATATCTGACTTTCATCTAGCTAACTAGTTATTTACTTCTTGTTTTCATGGAGGCAGGAGAGTTTGTACACAATATATTCAATTGGTACAGCCCTGCCCTTCTCTATATATTTCATTAAAAAAAAATCTACCCTCTCACCTCTATGGATGGTATGTGTTTTCTTCAATCTCAGGTCCTCTACCAGAAGCCTGGGAATTTGAGGGTTCTGCGCTATTATCTTAGCTGTTCCTAACACTGCACTCTTCTGGACAGAGACTTCTGACGTTGTTCCTCGGATCTGTTGGAACCACTCTCCCAGCTTAGGAGTCAGAGCCCCAAGTGCTCCCACCATCACTGGGACCACTTTGGCCTTTACTTCCCACATCCTCTCTAATTCCTCTTTCAGGCCCTGGTACTTCTCCAGCTTCTCATACTCCTTCTTCCTGATGTTGCTGTCACTTGGCATCCCTCCATCTATCCCCACTGCTGTCTTCTGGCCCTGGTCCACTACCATGATGTCTGTTTGATTGGCCAGTACCTGCCTGTCCATCTGGATCTGAAAGTCCTACAGGATCATAGCACTGTTATTCTCCATGATCTTCTGTGGAATCTCCCATCTGGACTTGGGGGGGTCTAGCCCTTACACTGTGCAAATGTTCTTGTACATAATGCCAGCTCCTTTCAGTGTATGTTGTTCCTGCCTGCATCTTACACCTTGCCACTATGTGTTGAACTGTCTCTGAAGCCTCTCTGCACAGTCTGCAACTTGGGTCCTATCTAGTGTGGTAGACCCCTGCTTCTGTGGATCTTGTGCAAAGTGCCTGCTCTTGTGGTGCTATCAGTGCTTCAGTGCTGTCTTTTAGCCCAGCCCTTTCAAGCTAATGGTAGGATTTCCCAGTGTCAACCACCTCAGCTATCTGTTTATAGCTTGTCTTGCCATGGCAATTCCTCTGCTTGAACTTCCTGCCATGTTTGCTGCTGCCTCAGGCATTCTCTCAGTAGCTCATCTTTGGGTGCTATCTTACTGATATACTCCTGGATGCTTTAGGTTTCATCCAGGACAGTGGCTTTGACACTCATCAGACCCTGCCCGCCCTCTTTCCAGCTGGTGTACAGTCTCTGGGTGTTGGACTTGGGGTTGGACTTTGTCTTCACGTCAGCAGCCTCCATGTCCTCCTTTCGCCAGCTCAGTATACTGGCTGGGTATCTGATCACTGGCAGGCCATATGTGTTGATGCCATGGATCATGTTCTTCCCACTGAGCTGGCTCTTCAGGACCTGTCTTATCCTTGGTGGTACTTGGATGTTGCTGTCTTCCTTTCCTCCTCATTGTGGTTTCCATGTAATTGTGGGATACCAAGGTACTTGTAGCTGGTCTGCATGTCACCTATGTGGCCTGCTGATAGTTCCACCACATCGGTTTTAACTACTTTCCCTCTCTTTACTATCATCTGGCTACACTTCTCCAGTCTGAATGATATCTCAGTTTTCTCACTGTAGATCCATGTCAGGTGGATCAGTGAGTTGATGTCTCATTCTAACATACAGCTTGATGTCATCTATGTAGAGAAGGTGGCTGATGGTAGTTCCATTCTTGAACTTGTATCCGTATCCAATCCTTGTGATTATCTGGCTGAGCGGATTTAAGCCTATGTAGAACAGCAGCGGGGACAGTGCATCATCTTGGTATATGTGACACTTGATGGCCACTTCTGTGACCTGTCTTGAGTTGACTTGCAGTGTTGTGTTTGACAGTCCCATTGAGTTCTTGAAAAAGGTCCTCAGTGTCCTGTTGACTTTGTATAGCTCCAGGCATTTACAGATCCATGTGTGTGACACTGAGACAGGCTTTCCTGTAGTCAATCTAGGCTGTGCTCAGATTGGTCTCTCTAGACCTTAAGTCTCAGGCAACTGCTCTATCTATGAGCAACATGTGGTTTGAGCCTCTGGTGTTGTTCCCAATGCCCTTCTGAGCTGTGTTTATGTAGCAGCCCATATGGTCCTGTAGCTTGGTAGATATGATGTCTGATAGGACTTTCTATGTTGTGGGAGGCAGATAATTGGCTGGTCTCACAAGACAATTTATCTATAGACTACTAAAACTCTCCTTTCTGTAACCTTCAATTGGGCAAAATGGTGCATCATAGGCCAGCAATTTTTGAACCAAGGTACCTCAGATGGGCTAACTTACAGAATGCATCCAAAATCTGGAGCCCATTACTCCTGTGGGGTTGAAATTTGGGAAATTTGTGGCTGCTTCAGTACTACTGTGCTGCTGCACCACTGTGGTCAGCCCTGTGGAAGGATGAGGGAGTAACTTGGATGCCTCCTGGTGAGGAAGAGCTGGTTGGAGGTTGCTGGTGGTTGACAAGGAGGAGGCTTCAATGGGACTCTCCTGAGGATTGTGAGGGGAGGGCAAATGGTAGAAGCCTGTAATATATGTGGGAAGGAAGGAAGGAAGGAAGGAAGGAAGGAAGGAAGGAAGGAAGGAAGGAAG